TGAGTTTCGGGAAATCCACATTTCTGAAGCATCCATTTTAGGAAGAAAGGGCACACGGCTCCTGTTGGCAGTGCTTTCTTGTTTGCTGCCACCTTCCCTCTACAGGAGGACACATATTGCAGATGTCTTTAGTGATGGTGTGTTTTTTTTTTTTTTTTTTTTTTTTTTTTTTTTTTTTTTTTTTGAAAGCCTCTGTTTTGATGCTGTGCTTTTTGGTTCACCGTTGGCAGCTCCATGCCTCCGCTGAGCAATTTCTTTACAAATTGCAATAATAAAAAAGTCAAATATTTAATTAGTTTGAGAATTATTGACTATGTTGAACTGTCACCAAGAAGACAAGTTGTGTCTGTCTATGTGTATGCCCTGCTTCCCCAGCCCCCAGCAGTTGCTCAAAAGGCAACTGTTAGTTGTAAAATACCCCCATACCCTTCCTCTTGGATATTTTCACTTCCTTCTTGCCCTGAGGGTGTATTTTATGGTTTAGACTAAAACCCAAGGAAATGAAGACTTTTATTTAAAATACTACAGAACTTAAGACAAAACTGGAAGGTGTTACTGGAATTGAGGTCCTCATGAAGGCTAATATAGAGTCCAAGGTTTCTGGGAAAGAAACTGGCTTATGCAAAGTTGGCCGTGAAGAAGATGGAGGACTTAGCTCATCAAAGCTCTGTTTTCAGGATTTTAGGCATTCAGGGGGCTTGTCTAGAGAGGGAAAGAAAAGGACCAGGGAAGCCATATGCTAAGAGGGGGTCTTTGTCATCTGCAGTATGTCTTTTTTTCCTTCAGAACATTCTAATGGATATTCACAGAACCAGAGTGTAGGGAGTGGGGAGCATTACAATGATCCCAAGATGCTGTGGGTCCTGTAGTCTGCGGAAAGGTTTAGCAGTTAATATCATAGCCATGGAGGTGAACCATTTCTTTAGAATATGAAATACTGGGCAAGAGGGAGGAGATCTCAACCTTACAGAAGAACAAGAACAGAGAAGGAAAGGGAAGAGGAAGTGAAAGTATCTATCAAGGTTAGCATAAAAGGAAATGGGTGGGTGAGGCTGAATGAAGGCTTCTTTAAGATGGAAGCTGTTTAATTGTAACGTGAGTGATTTCCAAGAAGATCTGGTCAGCTATTCCCCTGGAAGTATGATACATAGATAGACATTTTAGGAAAATTTAAAGGACAAGAGCTAAGGCAAAAATCATAGACCAAGTTTAATCCTTTCCCATGGAAATATTTTACCTCATTTGCTTTTGATCCTCTCCTTCAGGTACTGTGGAGGTCTGTCCTTTCACAGGTGTGAGTCTGTAAAGCCATAAAGCGGTATCTGCCCATAACCGTGTCCCCAGACAGGTTGAGCTGCATGCATCACTTAGGTTTTGCTCCTGGCATAAGATGGCACAATGCTTGCATCTCCAATTGAGTCCCCAGGACTGAGACCCTGTTGGACAAGCCTCTGCTGTCACATGTAAGAGTTGAGCAGAGTAACAAAGAGCTCCTCTGAAAGCCTACTTTAATTATTTATCAGCACTGTTGGTACTGTGTCAGGCAAGATAGTGTTTGAAATTAATATACTATTTAAGTAGACTGATTGATTGCTCCTACCTCTGAAGAGTTTAACATTCACTAGCTATACAGACTGGTCATTAGTCCTTTCCTTTATCAGTAAGCAAAGAATAAACAGAAATTGTAATAGAAATTCATCACAGTGAACGGGTATCTAAGAGGCTGTGATAACTGGCCTTGTACTAGATTAACTGCTAGAACATTGGCAGCAGGAAAGATATCTTTTAGAAAAGATTTAAATATCTTCTAATTAATGTTTATCTTGTAACAGGACTATTTTAAACTAAGTCGGGTTATACAGAGAATCACTTCCACATCCAGTATAACAAAACACTAACAGATGGTTTACCCTTACTGTGTTTGTGTGCCATCCTTTAGCTATTAGTTGTAGCAAGGACTGAGACCTCAAGAATATGCTTGAGTATCCTCCAGGTGAGGTTTTCTTCCTACTACTGAAGAATAAAAGCACTGTTTCTCAGTCAGACAGTTGATTTAATCTGACTTATAATGAGAAACCCCTGGCTTGTTAAAGCAATTGCCCCCTCCTTATCTATTAGATCATGAATTGTTTTTAAGAGCAAATTGGAAGGAATAGTGAGAAGGAGATAGCTAAAGAAGAGGCAAAGAGCTTATGAGCAATTCTACACATGGTAAGAGTTAGATACCAAATATTGACTGCTTCCCTGGGAACTTATAATTATTTCACATTTCCTCCAATGAATGATTTTGAAAGATCCATAGAGCTGTATCTATTTTATACATGATGATATTGATGCTCAGAAAGTTTAACTAACTTGTACAAGGAAATGAAGCTGGCGAGAAGAGTCAGGCCATCAACTAGTCTGCTAGCGGTAGAGTCATATCCAGTTACCTGTCTCCTCAGCATGCATAAATGGAATGGAGAATGCTCTTTTTTATGGCAGGGGAAGTTGTCAGGGCCCACAGTGCATCTGTCACCTTCCTTGCCTCCACAGTATTACCAGAAAACTGGATAACAAGTGAGGTTGCTGAAGGAGCCCATTTAACTGCTATATCCTAAGGTGCAGTAAGTTTTATACAAATAATGGTAAAATGTCCAAGAAAATATTGAGTTCTCATGAAGGCAGGCAGAAAGCAGCATAAGGGCATCTGGGCTATGGCATCACTGGGGGTCAGAAAACTGTCTAGATAGTTTTCATGTGGGACTGGAAGATTTTACCTGTAAGAAGCATAGTTGGGACTAATAGTGATGGTTATCAAAAGTCAAAGTGAAATCTCTCTCACACAGAAAGAATGAATAAGAAACAATGACTAAGGAGCTGCCCTGGAAAACTCAGGAAGATGTGGGTGTTGCTCGTCTTGGGTCTAACAGGAGGCAGAGGCCAGAAAAGAAAGAAAAGGAAGGTTTATACTCTGCTCTAGGTCCCAGGTAAATGGGATTAAAAGTGGAGCACCCAGAAATTGAGGCAAGAAGATTAGGATACATAGCTACAGACAGTATTACTACAAACTCAGGAAATGAGTGAGCATGAGGATAAATGTACCCTAAGGAAATTCATGGACTCTTCTCTTTAACCTTCATGTAGCAGACATTTGTTTTGTTTTGTTTGGGGGGAAAGGTTTATTGGGTTGCATGTCCCAGTTACAGTTTATCATTGAGGGAAGCCAATGTAGAAACTCAAGGCAGGCATTGATGTAGGGGACAGTGTAAGCCACACCTGCTAGAAGCTGGCTACAGGTGTGCCTGACCACACCTGTCAGGGCATGGTCAAGGTGAGGTCAGGATGATGTGTGATAGGGTTTTAAGGGGCTGTAAGGCACATGGGAGCCCCTTCTCTCTAGCCTGCCTGCCTTGCTGCCCCTGGCACACTGTGGCTTGCGTTTGGCTGGTGTTTTTTTTTTTAACAAAGGGTATCTTTATCTCAAGCTCCTTTTATTTTTTAATAAGCTGAAGGAAGAGGCCATGCATCAGTCTTGCTTACTGTCTTGTTCAGCCTTCTCCTTCTCCTTCTCCTTCTCCTTCTCCTCCTCCTCCTCCTCCTCCTTCTTCTTCGTTAATTAATTTACTTTTTACATTCCAGTCCCTGTTCCCCCTCACTCCTCTCCTCCTGCTGTCCCCATTCCCCCTCTCCCACCTCACCTCCCATCTGCTCCTCAGAGAGGGTAAGACCTCCCCTAGGAAGTCTACTAAGTCTGTCCTATCATTTCTGTGAGGCAGGACCAAAGCACCTCTCCACGTCCCAACCTCCCTATGTCTAGGCCGAGCAAGGTATCTCTCCATATAGAATGGACTCCTCTAAGTTAGTTTGTGCATTACTGTTAGATCTTGGACCCACTGCCAGTGGCCTCATACATTGTCCCAACCGCACCATTGTCACCTATAGTATGGGAGTCTAGTTCAGTCTTATACAGGTTCCCCGTTTGAAAGACCAGAGTCAGTGATCTCTCACTGGCTCGGGTCAGCTGATTCTGTGGGTTTCCCCATCATGGTGTTGACTCCTTTATTCATATTATTGCTCCTCCCTCACTTTGATTGTACTCCAGGAGCTTGGCCCATTGATTAGTTGTGGGTTTCTGCATCTGCTTCCATCTGTTTCTGGAAGAGAGTTCTAGTTTCTCTGAGGCTGTAGATTGTAGGCAAGGTATCTTTGTAGCAGACAACTTTTAGCTGCTTTAGTCACTTTCAAGTAACACTACTAAAATATTTAACTTAAATACTTTTGGGGAAGGGAGATTTCTTTTGGTGCATCGTTTCCGAGAGTCCCATTCATGCTCACTTGTCCCCATGTCCTTGGGCATGATAACACTACTAAAATATTTAACTTAAATACTTTTGGGGAAGGGGGATTTCTTTTGGTGCATGGTTTCCGAGAGTCCCATTCATGCTCACTTGTCCCCATGTCCTTGGGCATGTGGCATAAGATCATTGTTTGCTACGCTGTGAGGAAGTAGCAGAGAAAGGAGCAGAGACAAGATCCTCCCTAGGACCCACTTCAAGTGATATATTTCTTCCGGTTAAATCTTACCCACAAAGATCTGCAGAAACTCCCAAAATAGTGCCATCAGATGGGAACCACGCTATTGAAACACAAGCCTGTGTGACACATTTCATATTCAAGTTGCAATAATCAACCCAAACTAAGATTTAAAATGTAGTACGATCAACAGGAAATGGCTAACTCCATAAATGATAATGCGATAGTAGTATACTGTTCTTACATTTGAATGTGTGTGCTAATGCCTCAGGGACAGTCGTCGTTGATAGAAAAGCTGTCCCCACAGTGTTTGGATATTATTTCAAGGAGGAGCAGAACCCCTGATGCTGCTACCTCCCAACCTGGCTTCAGTTTTATTTTCTGACTTCCAAGCGGTTTAAAATAGATAAAAGTTCCCCACTTAAGTTCTCTAATTCTTTCTCTCCCTCCTTCCCTCTCTTCTCCCCCACCTCCATTTTACACAGGAGACTTTGAATGTGATCGATCCTGGCTTGATGGACCTAAATGGAATGAGTGAAGATGCCTTAGAGTGGGATGAAACAGATATAAGTAACAAGCTAATTAGTCTGCATGAAGAATCTAATGATCTGGATCAAGACCCAGAGTCTATCATACCCTCAGTGAAGCTTGAAGAGACACACCACCAGGATCCTGGTTATGAGGAGGAAGCAGGTGACTTTGGAGGGTCCCAGTATACCTCAAGCATCGAGGTACCTTCCAGCCCGCACATTTACCAAGTGTACAGTCTTCACAACGTTACACTCCACAAGGACAGCCCCACTCCATTTCTGAAAAGCAGTCCAAAGCTGACAGGCACAGCACAGCCTAGTGTTTTAACTAAGAGCCTCAGTAAGGATTCTTCATTTTCGTCTACAAAATCGTTGCCAGATCTTTTAGGGGGCTCCAGTTTGGTGAGGCCTTGCCCATGTCACAGTGGAGACATGAGCCAGAATTCAAGCAGTGAGAGTGGAATTGTCAGTGAAGGAGACAATGAAATGCCTACCAACTCTGAAATGTGTTTGCTCAGTGTGGTAGATGGATCTCCAAGTAACCTTGAAACTGAACATCTGGACCCACAAATGGGAGGAGATGCAGTCAACGTGTTAAAGCAAAAATTTAAAGATGAGGAGGAATGCAATAAGCTTCCAAATACCTCTCAGTCATCCATCTCATCAGTGGGTTGTGTAAATGGAAAAGCTGGAGATTTAAACAGTGTTCCCAAACATACCACTGATTGTGTAGGAGAAGAATTACAAGGAAAACATGATGTGTTTACATTTTATGATTACTCATACCTCCAAGGCTCAAAACTCAAGTTACCAATGATAATGAAACAGTCACAAAGTGACAAGGCACATGTGGATGATCCCCTTCTTTGTGGCTTTTATTTTGATAAAAAATCCTGCAAATCTAAACATCAGGCTTCAGAGTTACAAACAGATGCGCTGCCCCATGAAAGGGTTTTGGCAAGTGCACCCCATGAAATAGGTCGCAGCTCCTATAAAAGTAGTGACAAAGAGAAGACACTCACAGGCATTCAGAATGCCCGACAGCTCTCCCTTTTATCTCGTAGCTCATCTATAGAGTCCCTTTCTCCAGGGGGTGATTTGTTTGGGTTAGGTATCTTTAAAAATGGCAGTGACAGCCTCCAGCGAAGTACTTCTTTGGAAAGTTGGTTGACATCCTATAAGAGCAATGAAGATCTTTTTAGCTGTCACAGCTCTGGGGACATAAGTGTGAGCAGTGGCTCAGTGGGTGAGCTGAGCAAGAGGACATTAGACCTCCTGAATCGCCTGGAGAATATCCAGAGCCCCTCGGAGCAAAAGATAAAGCGGAGTGTTTCTGATGTCACTCTCCAAAGCAGCTCCCAAAAGATGTCCTTTACTGGCCAGATGTCATTGGATGTTGCATCTTCTATCAATGAAGATTCAGCAGCCTCTCTTACAGAACTGAGTAGCAGTGATGAGCTCTCCCTTTGTTCGGAGGATATTGTGTTACACAAAAACAAGATCCCAGAATCCAATGCATCATTCAGGAAGCGCCTGAATCGCTCGGTGGCTGATGAAAGTGACGTCAATGTTAGTATGATTGTTAATGTCTCTTGTACCTCTGCTTGCACTGATGATGAAGACGACAGTGACCTCCTGTCCAGCTCCACTCTCACCTTGACTGAAGAAGAGCTATGCCTCAAAGATGAGGACGACGACTCTAGTATTGCAACAGATGATGAAATTTATGAAGAAAGCCACCTGATATCTGGGCTGGACTACATAAAGAATGAACTGCAGACTTGGATAAGACCAAAATTTTCCCTGACAAGAGAAAAGAAACGATGTGGTGTCACTGATGAAATAAAGGGCAATAAAGATGGAGGTCGAAGTGAGAAGATCAACTCCTCAGATACCCTGAACATTGAGGCCCTTCTTAATGGCTCCATCAAATGTCTCTCTGAAAACAATGGAAATGGTAAGAATTCACCCAGAACTCACGACTTGGGGACAGGAGGTGAAAACAAGAAAAATACTTATGAAGTCACTAAAGATCCACATGTGGCTGACATGGAAAATGGCAATATTGAGAGTATTCCAGAAAGACAAAAGGAGAAGCTGAATGGGATTTCAGAAACATCAGAGAACCCTGGTTTAAATGTGAAAAAGAGTTCTGAATCCAAGCATAGTGAGTGTAAAGCATTAACGGATGCTTCAGATGGTTCAAATGTTGCTAGAAAGGAACTTGGTCCCCCAAATGATAGACATCTTCCACAGATAGGCCCAAATCTCCACTATTCTGAAAATCAAAGTGCCCACTGCACACCTGTTGAGAACTCCTGCCCAGAACTGCTGTTAGAAACCAGAGATGGAAGACAAGACAGTGATGGACTAAAATCTTTGTCTAATGATGTACCAAGTGGGGCTAGCAAATCTGTGGGTTGCTGCCTACTCCAACAAAATGAGACAGAGGAAAGTGCTTCTATCAGCAACAGCACTTCCTGTTGCAACTGCCAGCCAGATGTTTTCCATCAAAAAGATGCTGAAGACTGTTCAGTACATGACTTTGTTAAGGAAATCATTGACATGGCATCAACAGCCCTGAAAAGTAAGTCACAACCTGAAAGTGAGGTAGCCGCTCCCACTTCATTAACACAAATTAAGGAGAAAGTGTTAGAACATTCTCACCGGCCCATGCACTTAAGAAAGGGGGACTTTTATTCCTACTTATCTCTTTCGTCCCATGACAGTGATTGTGGGGAGGTCACCAATTACATAGATGAGAAGAGCAGCACCCCATTGCCACCGGAATCTGTGGACTTTAGCTTAGATGACAAGGAAGACATTGAATGCTTCTTTGAAGCTTGTGTTGAAGATGACCTTGTTGATGAAAAAGCCTGTTTCTCCGGTGCCCTTCCAAATGAACCAGCAGTTCCCGATGAAGCTGCTATGCCAACACAAGTGACAGCAAGCTCTCCTATGGTTAATGATGCTGCTTCCTCACTGGATGAGACAGACATGATAGCTCTTTCAGAACCTTCCCCTCAGAGAGGAGCTGACAATAGAAAGGAAGTAGGTCATGCGACCCAAACATCCCAGGGCTGTGCAGAGATCTCAGAGCTAACTACTCCTTCAGGACAGGCCAGTAAAGATGGAATCTCAAGAAACCAAGGTGAACCAGAAGAAAATAACGCTGTTTCAGCCAAATCAAAAATTCAAGCTCGCCCACTGAATGCTAAACAGCCAAAAGTCAAGGCTATGCTGTATCCCAGCCCGCAAACTTTAACCTGTAAAGAAACGCTTGTAAGCTTTCATGAAGATCGACATAGAAACATGCATAGATAGAATGTAATGCCCCCAAGCATGGAAATCATTTCATTGAAAGGTATGTATAAGTACTTGTGGCATGTGTGTGTGTGTGTGTGTGTGTGTGTGTGTGTGTGTGTGTGATATGAGTTTGCATTAATAGAACCACTATAGAAGACTAGTCGGAATGACCAGTCATGACGCATACATATCTGAATAAGACATTAAGTAGAAATGCTTACAACATCAAAATTAACTGTGAAAAGCAAAAGGGGAAAACTGGTGACATTTTATGTGACATTATATTTATTTTATCATTTTGTCAAGAGCAATTCAATATCTGAGGAAACAGCTGATCAATTTAGGGCTTCAAACTCTTCCACTGGGGGAGAAAAATACTATCCAAGTCGCAGTCATGCCTGATCATTTTAAGATTCCTTACTTGAGCTCCTACTTGGACCTGCCTGCTGATGAACAAGGATTGGACTGACGATTGTGTCTCTGGACATGAGCTTTCCCTTTATGCTTCTACCTAACATATCTACCATCTCACTCATTTTCTTGAGGAAGGCTGTGCTGTCACAGCTCCTAATCCATGCCTAAGAATTCTAACAGGAGGGGAAAGTTGATATAAAAGAAGATCCCCTTATTTATACACACACAGATTGAGGACAGGTACAGAACACAAATACTGGAAGAATATGTGACAACTTAATGGAGTCTTGATAAAACAGAATTTTTGAATTTTGCCTGAAGGTGACAGGCTGATTGCCATCATTTTTTTAAGAAAGTCATTCTACTTTTCATATTTAATAAGACAGCTATTGATTGATTATTCTGAGATGGTGATATGGCTCTGAAAGTGACACAAAGATTTTGTTATTTCCTATTTCTAAGCCTCAATGATGAATGTACCTCCTCTATCAAGTTTAAAGAGAAATTTAGATTTCAAATGTGAGAGTTGTATTGCACCAAAGTGTGAGGTGCATGGTGCCACCTCCACCCCCACTGCAGAAGCCTAATGCGTAACCTAAACTCGTGCTATAGGAAATGAATTACAGAAGCAATCTACCCTAATTTGTTAACTTATTCAAATAACAGTTATTATACTTAACTATGCTAAAGATTATCTTTTTTGTGGCAGATTGTTTATTTTTTGATGAGCCTAATTACTGATTTTCTAAAAGTAATTTACATTTATTACAAATACATCTTTTAAAATGTGACAGATAAATGTTGTTCCCATAATGTATTATGAAAAAAGTTACTATTTAAAAACACATTATTTAATTTGAAAGATGAATGGCAAACATCATTATTTTTTTTTCCTGCAACACCTGTGCCCTAAGCTCATTAAAATGTGTGATTCTGTGTAGAGCTGCTAGAATGGGGAGCGAGGGGGGCAATCTATACCATATATATACCCTAAAAATAAACTCGGTATGCAAAACTGAAGAAAGCCATCCTACTTACTAATGTAGCTTCACTAATTTCCTATTTCAGATTCTATTTACAATTGGCTGTGGGTGAGAACAAAAGTGGGAGAGAGAGAGAGAGAGAAATGTGTTTTCTGTGAGCTGTGCCCACCCTATAATCACATTCTCCATCAGTATGCAGTAAAACTGACCATTAAGGGAAAGTAACTGGGATTCGATAAGCTGCTTCAGAGCAAGTTCTATTAGAACTGATTGGATGCGGGCTCTGCCCGCCTCTGCTGAAGGCCCCGGAGAGCCTGGCTGATTTTGTTTTCTGAAAAAAGGATAAAGGCTCGAAAGCAACAGCACTCTTGAGTGTGCCACCCTGTGACTGTGACCCTCGAGTCACCAGCCGTGCTGAGATCAGGAGCAGAGAAAGCTCTGGCCCTGGAGAAGCCTCTGGAATGCATTCTCCCTGTTTCATCCTCTGGGAGACTCTTCTCTCCATCACATAGAGAAATGGAATTGAAATGAAACGTAAATGATGAGCAATTCCACTTTTTGACTGGAGGGAAGTGAAGGTGCTGATGGATCTGTGTAATTGTCACATTTTACAAGCATAGACAGTATGAAAACTCTCAAAGGCTTGCCTGCCCATCAGCAGGGTTCTGTTGCACCCCACGCAGGGCTCTATTGTGGGCAAAGGGAAAAGCAGCCAGATTTTACTTCTGCAGAACTGACATCACCCCCAAGTGACTTGTTATCAGCCTAGAGCGATGGCAATAGCCATATGTTGCTCCTATCCACTTTTGAGGGTGTGTGTGTGCACGTGTGTGTGCTGCACGTGTGTGTGTGTGTGTGTGTGTGTGTGTGTGTGTGTGTGTGGTGTGTTGCAGTATTATGTTAAACACCTTGGAGCATGGTTTCGGGACTAGTTGCTAGCATTGGGTGTGAACTTTCATATAGAGTCCAAATACTGTCACCTGAGAAGTTACCCAGTCCGAAAATGCTGCTCAGCTTTCAACACTTGTGTCAGGATGTGTAGGACAGGTACTGGGAATTATGACACCTTTCATTGGAATAAGTGTGTTTGTTATCATTCTTCTTCCTACAGAGTCCGAAACAGCAAAAGCTCTTCTTTTAAAAGGCCATTTGAGGGCCATTAGATGGGCTCTTCTTTGTTTGAGGACAACACAATGCACCAAAGTCAATTTGCTGGAGCTCTTTTCCCAGAAATAAATTCTCAGATGGTGAAATGACTATAATTCCTATGACTTAGAGCCATGCATGTCGTTTGCAACTAGAACAAATTCTTTTCGAAGAGTTTTCAAATTTATTTTGATTTCCTATGTTCAAATTAAAAACCTCTGAACCCATTTGAGAAGATTTAGTGTGGCCCAACGGTGTGTGCATTTGTGCTTATTTCCAGGCACACTGCTGGGCTTTTCACTGGATCCATTTGTGTGTTGCATTTCTGTAAAAATAGAGAGGTCAGTTATAGCAAATCACATCAAAGGCAAGGTAACTGGATAGATCCAGTTCTTTCTGCCTAATTTGGAGGAAGCACACAGTGTATGTCTGGAATGCCTCCTAGGACCTGCCTAAGAGATGTACTTTGCACTAATCTTTTTGCTGTATTCTGACAGTTATTTCTTCATAATCCTCATCCTAAGCCTGTGATCTCTGATGAATGGTTTAACCCTAAACTTCAGGCTGGATAAATTCTGCCATGTAAAAAGTTAACTCCTCGTGTGCAGCCAGTGTGTACTTTTATGTCTTCTCCTTCAGGTTTTCTGATGGTTTGGTTGTACATGGTGTGTGTGTGTGTGGGGGGGGGGATCTTTATTTCTTCCTCTGGTCTTAGTTTCATTGTCTTGCCTACTTTATCAGACTGCAAATGTAGTGGTGACCACAAAGTTTTAGATTTCAGATGACTATGTAGATGCACATTCAGGTTTGCACATACACAGCTGTTCTGCTTTTTAAGCTGAGAAAGTGGTAGGAGCAAACACTTCTCATCATACACAGTGTCTCATTCTCCTATTGGACTGGCCCTGTTTGGGGTTTCCAAGGCTGGCCAACTATTATTCTTTAGATAGACACTACAAGTATAGTCTTGTAAATTTACCTTTAAACCACCTTACCAAACCAAGGCTCTTCAGGATGTGATTTGAATTATCTGGTGCTTCTGAATAACTCACCATGCTAAATAAAAAAGATTTTATTGTATAAAGTCATCACTCTCACTCCCTCCATCTCTCCCTCTCCTCCCACCCCTTCTCTCTCTCTCTCTCTCTCTCTGGCTCTCTCTCTCTCTTACACACACACACACACACACACACACACACACACACACAAGGATTTGGGCTTGAGCCCATTTGGCGTGCCTGTTTCCAAGTGTGCCAAGTTGAAAGAATTGATTATCCACAGGGAATTCGGTTGTCAGCTCTTTCCTGAGACAGGATCCGCTTCACCCGAGGATTCCCTGCTCAGTGGCAGATTTCTGATGAGTCATATCCTCAGCATGTGAGCAATGCCACACTGGGCTTTCTTAAATTACTGCATTATTTTACTGTACCAAATTTTGTCCCATCTGCCTCTGTCTGTCTCCCCATTCTTGCTAACTTTCCCTATGCTCCTAACATCCTGTTTGGCTCTAGTGGAACTGCAGTTGGAAAACTTTTTTTCTAACTGCTACACAAAGTTGTAAGTGTATAGAAAGAGACAGAAAGACACAGAAGAATATTTGCTTCTAAGAGGTCAGGACAAAACCTGATATAACACTTCAGAATTTAGATTAAACCTAGCAGGCAGAGGCCTGCTTTATTGAGAGCTGGTCTGCGTATCTAAAGTAATTATATCCTGAAATTTAGAAGTTTCTCAGAATTGACCAGGTGTTATAGCCATTTAGAAATAAGTAGGAAAGAATGAGATTGGAACAAATGTATCAATTGTATCAGTCATCCCACTTAAAAAGATAATTGAATAAGTTTGGATTCCACAATGTTTCCTGTACCTAAACATGAAACGCAGTGATATTTGAGCTGTAAATTCTAATTATACCCACTTATAGGCAAGGATCTATAGCATTCAGGATCATCACATGTTTCATCACTACGGAACAGAATTGTTCAACATCACACACAAATTACTGAAGGGAGTGCGAACCTTAGAGCCAGGACCCCAGTCTGTGGATTATTGTTCAGATATTGTCACATCCCTGCCTGACATTTCATACAGATTTGGAACAATCATGATAAAACTGAAATCACCCACAGAAGAATGAATGAGTTGATGACCCAGAGAAAAGTTGTTTGTACTTGATTCTACTTATTTGTTGAAATTATGTTAATATATTGAAGTATCTGTATTATCTCGATGAACTGAAGATTTTTTTTCTTTTTTGTTTTTTTTTTTTGGGGGGGGGTTGTATGTGGTTTGAGCCTTGAGCTAGTCACATGTCATACCCTCTACCCTCTCATTTTAGATCTTTAGCAGCTAAACCCCCATTGGCAGCTTCCTGAAAGGGCTTCAATCTGCAAACGATAGAGATGTTTCTGATTCCTGTAACATTTTTGTCTCCTATAGATAGCCTGGTTGCTGCTCAGGGCTGGCCTGATCTAC